CGTTTCCAGCTTTCCGGCTTTCAACCAGGAAAGGAATTAAAATCCCCGAAAGAGAGAATCGAAACCGCGGAAGGCCAAGGCAAAAACGGAGTAAAATGGGATCGGACGTGATTCTCGCGTCTCCCGCACGATGGCGGTAGTGCGCCGTCACGTGCATTCGCAGATGCCTTTCAACTCCTTTTCCCTCCGGGTGCCGCGAAATGATCGCGAAAGCTCTCCGTGCCAAAATGCTCGATTTTTCTTTCGGAAATTCTGGAAACCCTTCGGCCCTTCGAGGGTCCGATCCCGGAATTTTCCGTTTGGATTTCCGACGGCGAGGGATTTCCGAACGGAGCCGCTCCGTTTCCTCGCATCCGCGATTCTAATTAGTCGCGGACTCCCGGAAATGAATCCCGCGAGAGCCCCATTGTGATTGCGTCGAGTCGATTGCACATCCGTGTCGTGTTATTTCGGAGCGGATTCGACCGGAATGGACCGACTCGGCGGCTGCGCCCAGGCTCGATTCCACGATTTTCCGCCGTCATCGGCCGGATCAAAACGGGGGAAGGAGGGAAGGAGGGAAGGAGAGGACGGGGGAGGGAGGGAAGGGGGGGGGGGATCAAGTTATTACCCCGGAACAATACGACTCGTTAGGAAAGAGAAACCGTCCTGTAATGGCGCATGCTCCACATATAATCATTCATGCTAATACGGTTTCAATATTTTTGAAGAGCCGAGGTTCCCAGGACGGCGAGCGAGTTCGTGGCGGCCGAGTGCAGATCCAACCTGTTCTCAGTGGCAAAGACGCTCAGAGGCTTTCGTCTCGTTAATCCTCGAAGGGGTTCAGGTAAGCGCGGGGTTTCTTGTGACGCCGTGGGATGGTTCATGGGGATGGGGATGGTTCATGGGGATGGTTGATGGGGATGGGAATGGCTCGCTTCTCCAACGAGGCGATGGGCGTTCGGCTTTGCTCTGCCAGGACGTTTTTTTGGCGCTTCGTTTCGGGTCTTTCGGGATGGTTGATTTTCTCGACTGGAATGATTTTTTTTTTCTATCCGGACGTCTCCGATAGAAACTTTTTTTTTTTTGGACAAAAGGGAAAGAGTTCCACGAAGTTGGCCGGTCGAGATCGATGGGGAGAGCGATCGGTCTCGGACGAGGCGCATTTCGCGGGAAGCTTTCAATCGCACTCTGCCCCTTCTTCCCCCGATTCGGATCGGGGGGAGACGGGGGGAGACGGCGTTGTTCCCCTGAGGTCGAGCTCGTTTTTCTCGATCCCCCGCGATCGCGGGAGATCGCGGGAGATCGCGGGCGAAACTTCGCGCTTGTTCGCTTTGAGACCTCTCCGGCCGATCTCGGCGTGGATCAGTTCGGCGTTCCGGAGGCAGAAAAGGCGGATGCCGTGACACGCGTTTACGTTAGAGGCGCGCCGGGAGGGGACGAGAGATCTTTTCCGATCTGCGAGAGACCCAAGCCTGATTGGATACTCTCGCCCCGACGACAGGCGAGAGTATCCAATCACCCCGTGGCCCCCCCCCTCCCCCCCCTTCCACCCAGTATTGGGTGGAAGGAGGGGTGGAAGAGGGGGGGGGTGGGGGGGGCCACGGAGAGTCGACGTCATCCTCCAGCCTCCTCCCACGTCCTCGCTCTCTCGATCACGACGCGAAATGCAGGGCCGATGGAGCGGCGGATTCCCGGATCCAATCCCGTCCGATCGTCGCGATCGAGATCGATCGACGCACGGCATGCCTTTCTCACGAAATGCTCCTCGTCTTCGAGCTCTCTCCCGACGGCCACGAGCTGCTCGGTTCACATCGTCTACGTTCAGCGGTGAAGTAATATGCAATCGCGCAATTTGGAGCGAAAACTCTGCCTGGACGAGGCGAACTCATCTGGACCTTTGGAATCAGAAAGGATGAAGAAAATTTCAAGATCTTTTGGTGGTTGCGTCTTTAGTCTTTAGTCGACTCTTTAGTCAGACTTAGAGACTGACTAGGCCCTAGGCCCTTTAAGTCTGACTGAACCTAAGGCTGATCAGACTTTGTCGGACTTTAGGAGCCCGTCAGTAATTTAAGTCGGTTTCACGGACCCCGACTAAGAGTCAGTGCAACTGAGGCTGAAGTCAGACCATAACAAATCAGACTTTTGGAGGAAAACAGCGCGTCTGGTCCTTCCTCTGCCTCATGCAGACGGATAACCTGCTTATGCAGCCATGGAAAGCAAAGCTGAGCTCATCCGGCACGGACCACGTTTCAAAAACTCACTGGGAAGGGTTTCACGTCCGCGATGTGGGGTGTCCTTGTGCATTCTGGAATCATCATGACTTTGATTTTATGGGCGATTTGGTGTGCTGAAAAATGAAGTCAAGAGTTCAAGAAATTTCTTTTGCACCGATATTCCAGGTGTTGACTAATGTAAATAAAAAGTATTAGATTACGTCAACAACACAGGTCTTTTATAGCTCGTGTAGGAGGCTCTCGCCTAGCAAAAGTGCACTGTGAAGTCCAGAAGACATTCCAAGACGAAATTCTAAGGCCCAACTCTATGGCTTAGCCATTCTCTTTCTTTACTTTACTGCCAGGACGAACATACTATGTAGTAGGAGACTGGCTTCAGAATTTATTATTGTCCGCTGAAGTCCTGTAAAAATGTCTAAAAAAAAGTTAAATATTTTAGCACGGGACTATTCTAACAAAAGAAAATCAATTGGTATGAGGTAGATGGTGACCTGCTCATGCGGGCGGAGAAGCGAATATGCCCAAATTCCAAAGGGCAGCTGCCAGTCATTCTCGGGCAATGCCGTTCTCTGGCTCGTGTCGGAAGTTTCTCAGGTGACCGGAGGCTCGGCTGAGCTGGTAGACCGACACGAATCCGTGTAATTGAGTTTGAATCGTTGTTGTCGACTATCTTGACGCATCAGGCCTGTGTCCGTTCAAATTGGTTAATAGGACTAAGCTAATGTTAGATTCTACATAAGGCCATGATCAACTAAAAAGTGAAATTAAGTCAATCGTTGAAAATTTAAGTGTATCTCTTCGTTTCTAATCCCCGGAATGAGACAAAGTAATCAATTATCGACTATAATGATTCATAAACGAATTCATACTTCCTTTTAACAATACGTTGTACGATGTTATTTGTGTTCATCAAGAAAATGAGAGCAGAATATACTTCGATAGGAAGGTTTTGGCATCTATGAAATATAAGTCACCGGCGTTACAAGTTCACTTGCAAAGTACCATACAGGCGCCACATATCCGCTATTCACCTGCCACTAATATAGCAAATGTAAAGTAGGCCATTTCATTGTTAGTCTAAAATTTTCCGTGTATGTGAGACTGTCCTTCTTGTCCTAGTTATGCCTGATTCAGGGTCCTGGTCTAATGGAACCTATTTTATAGTAAGCAAAGCCCTTAGTTTTGATGATTCCTGCCTTGTGTTCTTTTTTTTTTTGGCAGTGTTTATTGACCAAATCAGCTCAGCCCTGACTTGTGGGACAAGCTAGAAGTCATCTGACTCTATATGCAGTTGTTGACACCTACATTCTTTGGGAGAGAGCTTGGCCTCTAAGTTATTGCCAAGCTGGTTTTCTTTAGTGAAAAGAATGTCTAAGGTTCGACCAAAATGTTATAAAGGCTGTTATATATACCAGGTTGGTGGCTTTCATCAGGTGGCTTGTATATTAGTTATAACATTAGAGAACCCATTCAGATATAGGGTTTCACAAAAGTTATGATTCAAGGCAGAGAGAGCTTGCTCAAAATTATGGCTGTATCAATATAAACATTTGGCTTATATGCCAATTGCCAATTTTTGTTCTTGAAAGGTGACTGCTTCCATCACAATACTGATCTTTTTGTTTGTTAATGGGATAGGTCTTTTTTGCAGTTGGTGTAATGAAGATGACATTAACTTGAATTAGGTGCATCAGTTCTACATTGAGCATGGAGCAAAAAACCTATAAAAGTATATTTTTTTTTTAAATTGAAAGATAGAGATTTTCCAAAATCACCAAAAAATCACAAGAAATATTGTTTCATACCAAAGGAAAACTAGCTATAAATATTAGGTTCTGTTTTCACAGAAGGAGATATATTGTAAGGAAGAGCTTTACTTCACTTCTGATATGGAACATTTGTTTGAATCAATATAACAGTATTGTTTTAGTATTCCATATGACTACAACTAGAAGACAAGAAAACAAAGATCCAGACTAGGCCAGTTCAAGGTTTCAGAGTTTGTTTTAGGCAAATTCAGCAGCACGGGCTTCTTAGATGATTCCATAGGAATGCAGAATCCTCTCACAGTGCTCCTAGGTGTTAGCATTGGCAGAAGAAGTTGCAATCCTGACCAGGCCTCATTTTTGAGTTCCATTCTCTGGAATAAACACAGGTTGCATCTGTCACTGCCTGCTTGTAGGAGTTCACTAGCCTGCTACAAAATGCTAATAAATCAAAGTATGGGGAAGAGATGTGCATGTTCATCACACAAAAATTAAAAATATAAATGTAAAAATTAGAAAATTGGCTGGTCCAAATCTTGATTTAGTTGGTTTAATGGAAAACACCTGAATCAGCTAAAGTCCAATCCCTGATCTAAGGATGAGTATGCTCTTACTCAAAACCCAAGCAGTATGCACAGAATAGAGTCCTTAATGAGTGACAGACACTTGTGGAGCTCTTTGGGGCTTGGATTTGTCTAGCTTTCAGTTGAAGGTATACTCTGTCATGCACTAACTCTATTTGTCAATCAAGTTGATTTCAAGGCAGGAGTTCCCATGAAAAGAATTTTCCCACTTCCCAATATAAAACATATTAAATTAGTTTTTCATATACTCTATACATTTGTCTAAGTAAATGTCTTAGTAATTGTTTATCATTATTTGGCATTTATTAGTGCATGTTATTAACTTTCTATCATGACATAATATAATAAGTTTTTAAATGACCATGATAACCTTCAATAATTAAATTGGGGGGGGGGGGGGGGTGAAGCCCTTGCCTTAGGCATGAAAGCCCATGATGTGCTCCTCCTTAGTGCCAGCTCTTGCCTCAGTGTCAGAAGGTATGGATAGGAAGAGATTATTCCCTTGCCATAGTAAGCATTCCTCTGATGAACTGTCTCTTGAGTAGTATGTGGTTGAAGATGCAAGCCTACATGAATAGCCTTTGTCTCTATCAAATTTTCTTGGCTCTCCAGTTTTATCATATGCATGTGATGAGTTGAGTTTGCATTCATGTCGGCTTTCATTTTTGCTAGATCTTAGTTTACTTATCACCAGTGCAGGTTATGCAGTAATATTGTCACAGAAGAAGTGGATTGCAAATTACTTTGCAACTCAGACTAATTGCATGCCGAAGTTCATTACCATCTCCCTTTCCATATAATATAAGCTTTTCAGGACTCTAATTATAGATGAGATAACTAAATATAAGGGAATTCACTGTTGAAGCTATTTTTAACATCATAATGCAATAATTTCATATGAAAAGAATATTTAATGCTTAGCCTAAACATATGCTTAAAGAATTACTCTATCCCCAAGGGTACTTGTTTGACCATGGAAGTTGTGTTCTTTTTTAATACATTTCTTGGAATTCTTAAATGAATCTGTTATCAGAAATCACTTCAGGAGGAATAAAAAACTTTTCTTTTTGTAGATCATCCCAAGATTCCCAATAGGCCTAGCCTTATATTGGGCATAGCATCGATGCAGAAATGTCACATGTATGGACAGTTGACTGAACCACCTTGAAACATCATCCAATCTTGGAAAAGGCACTCATGATTCAAGCACCTGCATCCTAGGTCTGCTGCTTTGTCTTAGGACTTCTTTTTATTAGTTAGGTGACTATGCTACTAGTGCAAGTTATGCATGTGTTGATAAGATTGAGTGTAGAGATAGGAACCTTATCAAGTGGATTGAGCTTGCTGCTGTAATCATACTATAAGAAGACTCAGTCTTTGACATTCCAAGGTCATTGGAAGATTCTGGCCCTCATGCTATCTGTGTCTGCAATCCCAAAGGTCCCAATATGTCAGGTGAAATGTTAATCCCTTGATTGAGTTTGCCCCCTGGAGGGGTGAAAGTGCAAATTACCTTTCTCTGTAAAATTACAATTATGCATAATAGGACCCATTAAAATAATGCATTTTGCTGTAAAATTAGACCCATGAGATTTGCAGAAGATGAGCGGAGACTACATGACCTTGGTTATGACCAATGTTGTGTGACCTCAAGGGCAGATTCCCTCTTACTGAACATGATTATTATTGAGTCCCTTGGACACTTATGATGTCTGCCATGCAAAAGAATTTATCGAAAGGAATCTTGTAGGTGAGCATTGAAGGACCTTGCAAGTTTGAGAACCATCGGTGCGGTCCTTATTGTAGGTGGTGCCACTATCTAAAATGCATGACCTGGATGGTATTGGTACCCATAATATGCCTTCAAATCTCAGTCATTATGTTAACTCTTGTATGGCAAGTGGCATTAGTGAAACAGCTATAAGTATGCACTAGGTGCAGTTGTAGCTAAGAAAAAAATGTAATCCAAAAGTTGAAGGCCATGCTTAGAAAATGAGATGCATGTTTAACCCTTGTCATGTCAAGAAAACAGCAACTGCCTTCAAAAAATATTTTGTTGCAAATAAAGCAACACAAGAAGAGTGAAAAGTATGACCCATGGTTAATGTCTAAATCAATCTATTTTATCATAATTTCTTGCAGGTACCACCATGAAGAAGTTCTTAAACCTTACAAAGAGTGAGAACAACTCGAAAGAGAGCAGCAACTTCATAGGAAAGGTCTTCACAACTGGAAAACTCTCCCTGACAGTAGAAGACACAATTGCAGAAGGTGGGCCTGGTCTGCCAGTTCTCTTTTCATATGATTTATGCATAGGTTGCTTTGGTGCATTAGCACTGCAGGAGATTAGTATACTCCTGCTTTGGCTGAGTTAACTCTTGTTTTATGTCCATGGTGAAGCAAGGTATTTTAAATAGGCTTGTTTTGCTTAACTTATATGGTGTGTGTCACATTTTCTCATCTGACCTGTTTCTTTGCATTTCAGGAGGCTTTGCAATTGTCTTCCTGGTGAAAGGAAGTAATGGGGTGCATTACGGCCTCAAGCGGATGTATGTCAACAATGACTATGACCTCCATGTCTGTAAAAGGGAGATAGAAATTGTGGTATGTATACATTCATGATTAAATTTCTTGCATTCTGAAGCTTGGGGTCTTGATACAATTTCTAGAACTTGGTTCTATTATAGACTCCCCTTGTGTGTATTGCTATAAAATCTTAATTTGAAATGCCAGGATGTGGTGTAGGTTTTATTAAATATATTGGAACCATTATGCGGTATTTGAGTTGAAAGAAATTTAATTATAAGTTGCTTTTTATAGCTGCATTGATCATGAAGCAATTGTGAAAACTTGGGATTCTGATTCTTCCAGCCCACACATATCTCAATATATAATCTTATTGCTCTACACCTGAAAGCAATGATAGCTAATAATAATCAGGGTCATTTCAATAGCAGCTGTATATTATCAAGTATGTATTATCAATTGTGTCCAGCTTCAGTTAGAGTTGATTTGGTGTTGATACCAGTATCTGTGGCATGTGAATCATTAAGTGTGAAACACTGGGATGAAAGAAACAGAGGCCTCAGTCAGATAAATTAGTTATGAAATGTACATTGAAATGACATAAGTATTAATATCTCATGCTTCATAGCAATTTGTGGCCGAATTGAAATTAATTACTGCTTCACTCAGATTGCTTGGAAATCTGATAGTGTAGTAGACCAGGGTCAAATTCCTTCAAAACTGATTTCTGTTTATTTAGATGAATCTATACATAAATTAGTTCTCATTCATGAATATTTTTAGCATTCAGAGCTTTTGTTTAAAGTTGACTTCATTCTTGCTATGTGTTCTATATAATGTTATAACCATGTGTTATTACTATATCATTCATGGAAATGAATGGAAAAAAAGGAGGTGTTCCATGCATGCAACTAGTTTATCTAAATAAGATTCAATGTTCTTCTAAGGTTTTCAGCAATGGATCATTTTACCTGCTTATTTCAGAAACAACTCGGTGGGCACAAGAACATTGTGAGCTATATTGATCATTCCATTTCATCTGTCGGTGGAGATGTATATGAGATCCTCCTTCTCATGGAGTACTACCGGGGCCATGTTCTTAATCTCATGAATGAAAGGTGAGCCCAGTATCCAGTTTTCTCAGTTTGCTCAGAGTATTCTCTTCCCAGTTGAAAATAAGGATATATACAGTCAACTCAATAAAATGAATTTTATTTTTCACAAATTTTTGTTTCCTGTATCTAGCTGTTTGCCCATTCATGTGCTTCTTGAAAAGTTTCTCTACGACATAGTTCTGATAATTTGATTCTACAAAGTAATTTTTTTGCTTGAATTGACAAACTGTTCTGTATTACAAAGTTTTAATCTGTGGTGCATGTCAGAGCTACTTTCTTTTGTGCTTTCCTAGAAAATCTCATGTATCTAAATTAAGTATGTTCCACCTGCTTGTTGGTGTGGCTGTGGAGAATAAAGAAGCTCTGTGCATTAGTCTTAATCATAGGATCTTAACCCATTCACTACTTATTTAATTCAAAGGGTATGAGGAGCACCTCAACTATAGTCAAATGTTGCAGCAAAAGTTTTAAGGATGGGGGTCAGGCTATCAAAGCCTTCAACTATCTTTGGCTATTTTACTGTCAAATATCAAATTTTGAGCCTGAAACAAAGTATTTTAGCATTTTCTTTGGAGTTTGAAAGGAAACTTTTAAATCCAAGATGTCTCACTTAAGCAATGAGCATATTGGCATTGCTTGCAACTGAAACATTTTATATTAGCCAGACGTGTGTACCTGGATATATAAAGATGATTATCAGAATTTTTTTTTTTTAAACCTTCCATATATAGGAACATATCAGAAAGGTGTCTTCTGGTTCTTGTTTCATAGGTAACAAAAGGGAATCAAGATATTGAATGCTGAGAATAACCATCAGCATAAAAAGGAAAGGGGGATATTTATTTGCAAAGTTGGAAATTAGTGATCAGACAAAGGGAGGAAATTTGTTACTAGTATGAAGCTGAGGATAATGTGTTAGTATGTAAAATTTGATCATGTCTGCTATGATTCTTTTCTCCTAGACTACATTCAGGATTCTCTGAGGCAGAGGTCCTGACAATATTCTGTGATGTGTGTGAAGCTGTGTCACGACTTCATCATTGCCAGACCCCAATTGTGCATCGGGATCTCAAGGTTTGTTTCCCTTCACCACATTTCTGATGACATATCATTCTGTAATACCATTTCCAAACTTGTGTTGCATCCTCTTCTGACTCACCTTACCCTGTCAGCAGTGCTTGCTTTTGAAGTTATGAAGAAAAAAGTGGGCTTCCTCTGATTCCCAATGGCAAATTCATGGTTAAGTGAATGAGGCACACACCTTTGATGAGGATGCAATGTGATTTTTTTAATGGTGCATGAAAATGATCATTTTTATATGCTCCTATGGTAGAGCATGGGAATTAATTAACTTGGTTGCTTTTGAGTTTTCAGTCTTCACTGTCATGGGTTTTACTTAAACTTGAGCTGTTGGTTCATATCCAGTTTCATTTCTGCTCTAACTCTTTTAAACGAAGAATTGCTGAAATACATTTAAAAAGCTACACAAAATTGATTCTTATTACTGTGGATAGATATTAGACTTGGCTCTTTGAAGTGACCTTTTTTTACCCTATCTAGTAGAATGCCAAGTTAGACACTGGAAATGCCAAGAACAAGAAAACTAGTGGTGTTCTCTGTTTAATGTTTTTGGTGTTGATGTGGTGGAAACAGGTGGAGAACATATTGTTTCGTGATGGAGGTCCATACGTGCTCTGTGATTTTGGGTCTGCCACACCCAAGGTGCTGAACCCAGCAAAACAAGGGGTATCTGCTGTAGAGGAGGAGATCAGGAAGTACACTACGGTCTCATACCGAGCCCCAGAGATGATTGACCTCTATGCTGGGAAGGTCATTCACACCAAAGCTGATATTTGGGTGGGTTCAACTCTGTTGGTAAAACTTTACTTTTTCTAATTCTCCTTTGGAGTGGGAAATTTTGAGTTATGAAACAGTTTGTCATCTTGCTCTCATGTTGAACATTTTTAAATAGCCAAAATCTAGCTATTTCTATGTGTAAAATGTGTATTCAGGAAGTCATCTGATTGCTTCAAATGGCTGCAAAACACAGAGTAGCAGAAAGTTGTCTGTCTTGGAAGAGTTTTGACTGTCAGCTTTTATGAACTCCATTCTCCACTTCCCCTGCTCATAAGAAATTACGGCTTTAACCCTTTCAGACCTGAATTAGGGCCACTATCAGAACAATATACTTTTTTGAATTTTTGAGCTCTTTTGCTTATCTACTTTAACTTTTGATGTTCTATATATCATTTTCATTTTTTGTATAAATTTACCATATCGTACTATATATTCATATATTATATTATATAATAATATATATATAATAATATGTACATTAATGTAATGAGTTCTAGTGTTTAGACTGTCCACTCTCTTCCGGAGACTATACTGTCCGAGACTATCGGTACGTATTAATACGGGTAACATCTCTAATTTGGGGTGCAATGTCATGAGAATCCCAAGGAATTAGCATAGGCACAATGAAAATGCAATGTCCATTGGAATGGATTCTGGGTCTCAAAGGGTTAAGCATGAATAATGACCCTTCCAGGCTTTGCTGTTTGAAACAATAACCAGGTAAAGGTTATCTTTAAGCTTTCACTGATCATCATGACCTTTATCATTGAAAGTTATA